GCCACCACCATCCTGGACATCGAGCGCTCCTTCCCGGTGTTCCTGCGGAAAGCCTTCCGCTCGGGAGAGATGGTCACTGTGGGGAAGGGCACGGATGGGACACCGGACCGCCGCTGGTGCTTCAGGTAAAGGCAGATGCCCTCAGGAGCTGGGGAACAGCCATGCCTCTCCCACCATGGCCAACAGTGTTTTGGGGAGCCAGCACAACGCACTCCTTTGTGGGGTCCTTTGTTCTCATCTGGAGGCAGGTGGAATTGCTGGTGGATGCCGGAGCTGCTGCTCTGGCTCCCAGGAGCTCTCCACATCCTCTCTGGATCTGACCTTCCCTCCAGGGTGGACGAGGTGAACTGGTCCCACTGGAACCAGAATCTGGGCATCATCAGCGAGGATCCGGGCAAGAATGAAACATACCAGTACTACGGCTTCTCCCACACCATGGGCCGGCTGCGGAGAGGTGAGCGCCGTGTCGTGGGCTGGGAACATCCCTTGGGATCTGTGGGGAGGTGAGCATGGTGCCATGGGCTGGGAGCATCCCTTGGGATGCTGCTTGCAGCTTCTGATGGGCCCTGGGAGCAGATTTGGGGGCTGGGAGACATGGGGCTGACCAGGGAGCAGCCACAGGCTCCTGGCTCTGCCAATCCCCACCCTCCCTGCAGATCGCTGGTCGACGGTGGTGCCGCGCGTGGTGGAGCTCAACAAGAGCTGCCAACCGGAGGAGGTGGTGGTGCCACTGGGGACCATGGGCACAGCGGAGCCGCGGGAGCGTCGGCACGGCCAGGCCCCGAGCTCCCCGCTCTAGCACAGTGGTGCTGGGAGCTCATGGACTCTGCTCGGGCCCCTGGAGCGGCTCCGGAATCGCGACTGGGCTGGATGGTGCTTGTCTGCTCCTCAGGGATTCGTGCAGCCTCTGTCCCTCCAGCAACTGCTGTCCTGCTGGCTGTCCAGCCTGGATGGGGGGTCCTGGCCCTTCCCTGGCCGTGTTGGAGGTCTCGGCTCTCACTGATGAGCTCCAGTGCCACTGCTTCCCTTCACGACGCCGGGGCCATCGGCTGTGCCGTGCCAGGAACCTTGGCTGCAGGCTGGATGTGGGAAGCATGACCCCCACTGCCCACCAAGGCCAATGGTTTTGCCACAGATTTTTGCACAGGATTTATACGACTATTTATTTAGTAATAAAGACTGACCCGCCAGTGCTGCCTCCTCCTGGCATTGACCGATTCAGGCTGGGAGATCTGCTCTGCCAGCAGGTCCTGGGGAGGGATGGAGGAGCCGGCTACGGTCTGTGCTATGCCACTCATCACACCGAGGTCAGGTGCAGTACGTGGATGCGGTGCAGGGCCTGGGTGTGCAGGTGCGGTGCTCTGGTGGGATGTGCAGGCGCAGTGCACGGATGGGATTACAGGTGCAGTGCTGGGAGGGGACGTGCAGGTGCAGCGCACGGTTGCGGTGCGGGGCCGGGGCTGTGCGGCCGCCGCTCCACTGGAGGGCACCACACACCGCGCGATGCGGGACCGGCCGCGGCGGCAACGCGGGGAGCCCGAGCTGGTCCCGACCCGCACCCGGCGGGCAGGCGGGGTGACGGGGTATCCGGGGTGGGGGAGTGGAACCGGAGACAAACCAGTGCTCCCCATCCCATCCCCACCCTATCCCAACCCCGTGTATCCTTATCCCCATCCCATCCTATCCATCGCCCCTCTGTAACTCCTTTCCTCCTTATCTTCCCATTCACGTGCAGCGGTGTGCTTTCCTTTAACAGCTGGACGTTGTGCAGCTGTGAAGGAGCGATTTAAGTGGACAACAGTGACACGGTGGCAGAGACCGTGGCCGGGGCCCTGGGGGCAGCCCAGCTCGCTCAGCAAACGCTTTAGCAGCAATGGGGACACTTCATCTTCAAATGTGATGAGTCGCCGTCAGCGTTAACGGCACCGTCTCTGTTTAAATGTGATTTACATACATCTCTCATATTGTGGTTTAAGTATTTCCCCAGGGTGAGGGATGAATATGTTTCATTATCACTCCTTGGGAGAGGCGGAGGTGGCAGCTCCCGCTGCATAATCGCATGAGGAGCTGAGCTGCTCCCCTTCCAGGCCAGTTCTTGGGTGAAAACGATACACTTGACTTTCACCCGGCTAAGTGGCCACAGGTCCAGTGGCCAGTCCTGGCTAGGCCATGTGAGGTGGCTGGAGGAGTCCTGGAAGAGAACTCAGCCACCTGACGTGCTGGAGATGGGCTCACCACTGCAGCTGCCCTGGGCTGCAGCACCAGACATGAGATTTTCCGGTAAAATTAGATATAAACCAATTTTTTCCCCTCCTGTGCAAATCCTGATGTCACAAAGCTGAGGGGCCACATGTGAGTGTGCTTTAAAAGGATTTGGGAAGGGTGGCTGTCACTGTGCCCCAGCACCCTGCACCATCACCCTGCAGTGGCGCGGTGGGGACGGGGACACTGTGGCCATGACAGTGACATCCCAGCACAGGACACCTCTGCTGCTTTCAGGGCTGCAGAGCTCGAGTTTGGCCCTTTAAACCCCCGCCCCACCAAGCCCTGAGCTCTTGCACCCTCAACTGGAGTGGTTGGGGGCACCCCGGGGGCCGGCAAACAGGGGGTTCTGGGTCTTGGCCCCCTCCCACCCCTTCCCTCCCTACCCTGCCAGAGATGACAAACCCAACAAAGGGAAGAGAAAAGCACTTGTCATCCAGAATGCGGAGCGCGGAAGCAAATTTATTTTTAGATAAATCTAAAGCTTAATTTGTGAAGCTAATATCAATCAAAATGAGAGATGGGGTTTTTTAAGTCCTTTTGCAACCGTGCAATTTATACTGCTTGTCTCTCCTCCTTGCTCCCAAACAGCAAAGGCAGCCGCTAAGTTTAATATCAGCCTCATGCACACCTGCCTTAGAAATTTTTAGTATTATTGCAATTATTATTATTATTTGAATAGGAAGGTATTTGCAGACCAGAAAGAGCATCATTTACCTCGGCATGTTCCCACAGCGCTCATGGGGAGCTGGGCCCCACAGGGATGGGAGGGTGATGGGTTGTGGTGGCTTTGCCCTGGGTGCTGGGGTGCACCTCGGTGGTCTTTGCTACATCTCCCAGGAGTGCCTGTCACATTTTAAGTCCCCACGTGCCCACCTGTGCCCGCCAGGGCCGGCACTGCAGCAGTCCTGGCTGGAGGCAGGAACCACCAAGAAGGGACCCATTTATTCTGCATTCCACAGTTGAAGTCTCCCCGTGCACAGCGAAATCCTCCTCCAGAGGAGCGATCGGAGGGGAGAATTAACCTGCTAAATAATACAAACCCCGCGCACCTCCTAATGAAATGTAATGACTTGGAGACCTGCAAGATGGATCGCGCCGTCGCTCGCAGCCGCTCGCCCTGATTTATGGCGAGCTGGGAAATCTGATGGAGGCAGCGCTAATGAATCCCCCTCCCACGGGCACTGCTGGTGGAGCAAAGTTTCTCCCGGAGCCCCCAGTGCAGCTCTGCGTACCACGGCCTCGGGAGGGTCCCCCCTTGGGCGCTGGGGGACCCCCAGGGAGGGGCTGCCCAGCACAGAGGGACCCGCCAGCCCCACCGCGCTCCAGCCTCACATTCCTTTGATGTGGCATCTCTTTAATGACAAGGATCTGAGCGAAGATCTTCCTCCAGACGGACTAATTTTAACACGCAGGCAGGCAGTGGCACCCCCCATCAGTAACATTAACCTCTGTGAAAATTTCCTTTTGTCCCAATTTCTCTTTGTTCCCTGGATCGGCTGTCAGCCGCTCGCAGCCGGTGACGGAGCGGTCCCCTCCTGCCACGCCATAAATATCAGCGCCGCCGTTACGGCGGGTGAGCAAACAAGACAAATGGAGCCGCCGTCCCCGGCTGCAACCACAGCCACGGGGTAGCTCCGAGTGCGTGGCTGTGTCCCCATCCCTGTCCTTGTCCCCATGCCATCCCATCCCTATTCCTCTCTCATCCCCATCCCCACCCTGTCCTCATCCATCCCCATCCTCATCCCCTTCCCCATTCCCATCCCATCCCTGTCCTTATCTCTGTCCCCACCTCATCCTCATCCCTGTCCCATCCCCATCCCTACCCCTATCTCATACTCATCGCATGCCATCCCTGCCCGTGTTCCATTCCCATCCCCTCTCCATCCATCCCCATATCTGTCCCCACCCCCATCCCACGTCATCCCATCCCATCCCATCCCATCCCATCCCATCCCATCCCTGTGCCCTCCCAGCCAGGCAAGGAAGGCAACTGAGCCCTTCCCACCCTCAGCCCACTCTCTGGTCGGGATAAGGACACACTGTATGTCACTGCCACAGGACACGGGGGCCATGGACACACATCCACAGCCCAGAGCTATTTGGGATTTCATACTATTATCCTAATGCAACTGGCTCACTGTTGGGGCCAGGAAGCTGCTGCCGGACAGAGCCGGGGGGGCTGATTTAGGGGAGAGCAGCCCTTCAACCAGAGCGGGACTCTGGGAGAGCCCCCATCCCACCTGGGCACCAGGAATGCTCTTGCCATGGGGGAAACTCGGTGGGAAACTCATCAGGGATGACAGAAGGCAGCAGAGGTGCCACCACTGCACCGGTGATGGCAGGAGGGGGACACAGTCTCTGATCCCAGTGCCCATCACTGAGGCCTCGGGGTGGTGAGGGCTGAACATCCCAGAGCATCCTACACGTGCACGTGAGGCCACAGCCCTAATCCCCAGGGATCTGGGCCACGTGCCGCTTTGGGTGTGAGGCAGAGGCTAGCGCCCCTGACGGATTAATGGCTCAGTGTCGTTAACAGGTTATTTATAGGTGCTCCTCCATGCCCTAAAAATCTGCAGGGAACAGGGGGGGATCCCAGCTCTGGGGGAGCCCAGGGGAGGCCACAGCAAAGCAAAGAGACTCCAGAGTACACATCCAGCAAGATCCTGGTTTTACTTTGGGAAAAACACCATCCGGACACACGGCTTGCGGGTTTTGTGTAGGTTTTTTTTTTTTTTTTTTTTTTTTTTTTTTTTTTTTCCATTTGTTTTCTCATTTTTAAAACAATATAGTGCAGCCAGCACTTCTCACAGTAGAATATAATGGTCAATTTTAGTATAAAAAAAAAACATTCTCAGAGATTTGTAAATGCACTTAGTGCTTGAACAGGCTTTCAGGGATACAGTACCTCTTTTCCGAGCACAATCACCTTGGGTTTCATTGGGATATTATTCTTCTTTTACCTTTAAACATCAAAACACTTTGTATTTCCTGGTGAGGAGCCTTTTTTAAATGAACAAATCTATCAAACACGGAATTACACAGAGTGAATAACGGACCATAATGAGCATTTTGGAATTGTTTGGGGTTTTTTTTAAAAAAAAAAAAGAGAAAAAAAGGAGGTATGTGAGTGCCCTGGTACCGCGGTCACCTCTAACCCAGAACCAAGGTAGAACTGACAGTAAGGGGAGGAAATAAAACAGCCTGGAAGTGTGAGAGCTGGGGGGTTCCAAGGGAAGAGGGGGTCCTGAACCTCCAGGTTGAGTGGGAATAGGAGCCGGTGGCCACCGCGGGGCCGGGTGAGAGGAGGAGGATGAGGAGGAAGAGGGGTGGGAGGAGACTCTGTAGCAGCCAACACATAGATGTACAGCCTAGTCAACTAAAAAAAAAATAAAAATTAAAAAAAAAAAAAAATCTGTTCAAGTTTTCAAGTGTTTTTCTTAAATAGCCTCCAGACTGTCCCCAGTTATTAGCTTTAATCAAAGCAGTGCAAGTTACGGACTTCAGCTACAGGTCAGGTGGCCACGCGCTGGCCACACAGCAGGCTCGGACCGGCCACCACTGGGCTGGGACTGCTCCCCACGGAGCCTCCTGGCCACCGCTGGGCTGGGACTGGCCACTATAGAGCCTCCTGGCCACTGCTGGGCTGGCACCGGCCACCATGGAGTTTCCTGGCCGTGGCTGCGCTGGGACCAGCCACCACTGAGCCTCCTGGCCACCACTGGGCTAGGACTGGCCACCATGGAGCCTCCTGGACACAGCTGGGCCAGGATCCACCATGGAGCCCCCTGGCCAGCCACAGCACAGGGCTCTGCCCCACACTGACGCAGCGCTGCCAGCGCGTGGCAGAGCCTCCCCTCCCTGGATAGCAGCAACTCGTAGCAATTCCCTGTTCACATTCGTGGAGATAAAATGATTTCTGAGCTATATAGACAACAAGCGGTCCTTCGGCCTCGGCTTCCAGCGGGTCGCGGGTGTATCCAGTCTGGGGACCCCGGTGAAATGCCAGTGTCCCAGGAGCCCTTTAGGCAGCCGACCCTGTGTCCCCCTCCCTGTCCCCCTGCCCTCGCTGCCACGGTTTGGTACCGGTGCAGTGCGGGAGGGGAGCGCAGCTCGCACCAAAGTCCTCGCCCTGGGTTTGGGAAGAGCAGCATCGGTCCCTTATCTATAGACGGGCAGGCGGATGTGGGCGTGCTGGTGGTCCAATAGCCTTGGCACAGACACGGTCTCGTAGCCCTTGCCCAGCATCTGTTCCTTGATGCAGGGCGGGTGGATGTCGTTGATGAGATACTCCAGGGACTGGAGGCTGCTGCTGAGGATGGAGGTATTGCAGAGTGTCTTGCTGGGCAGCCCCTCGGCCGGGGGCACCCCCAGCTCGCGGGGCCCAGCCCCCAACTCCGGCGGGTTGTAACAGTCGCTGTTGGGGGTCACCAGGATGCTATTCCAGGGGGGAGCGAAGTACTGCCCCACTGAGAAGTTGCCGTGCATGCAGTTCAAGGGGGACGAACTCACCTTCTCGGCCGCGCCGCCCAGGCCGTAGGGGCGCGAGGCGCCCGCACACGTCTCGGGGGACTTGCTGAGGGCCCCCCCACCGCCGCTGCCCCCGCTGTACATTCGCAGGTGCTGCTGCTGCTGCTTCTGCTGCCAGACCAGGTAGTCCATGCCCTCGGGGTAGATGCCCGCCTTGGGTCCCAGGGCGGCGGCCGGGTTGGAGCCCAGCGCCAGGTCGGCGCCCTTGCGGCACTCGGGCAGGACGGTGCCGGTGTAGGCGGTGCCGAAGGCGCCGTGCTTGGTCGGGCTGGGGTGGGCGGCCACAACGGCCGGGCAGCCCGGCTGGGCACCCTGCGCCTGGCACTGCTGATTGATCTGGTAGATGATGCTCTGGATGGAGGGCAGGTTGGAGGGTGGCAGGGCCAGGCTCCTGCCCGCCAGTGGCAGCACTGAGGCCGCCACCGTCACGTTGGGCACAGGACCCTCCAGCTGCTTCTGGCCGCCGTGGTAGTTCAGCTGCCCGGCGCAGGAGGGACCTGGAGCTAAAGTGCTTGAGGCGGGGTAGGGAGCAACGCCCACCTGGGCGGGCGAGAGCTTAGTCCGCTTCCCCTCCGAGTTCTTCACCACGCTTTTGCCGGAGGCTTTGACGATGGCCAGCAGACCCTGGTAGCCACCAGCGTGCAGGGGGTAGGGGCTGTACCGCTGCCCTGTGGTGTCGTAGCCGTTGACCGTCCGGTTAAGGTGCTTGTGCTGGGGGACCCTGATGTTGGTGGGGAAGATCTTGATGGTCAGCGGGCTGTTGGCCACCTTCTGTGCGTAGGCATCCAGCTCGGCGGGGCTGGGGTAGCGTGGGGAATGCATCGGTGCCACCGTCTCACCTGCGGGAGCAAAGGGTAGGGTGAATCTGGCATTGCCGGGACGAGAGAACCCGGAACTCCAGCACCCACCACCCCTCGCCGAATCCCACCCGCTCCCGGCAGAAACCAGGCCACGGCACCAACCTGCCCCCTCCCGCTGACGGAGTCACTTGTAAGTGGCCTAAAATAAACTCGGTGTGGAGAATGGAAATGTCACTTTACCCAACGGGGGAATCTTTCTCCGAGATTGGATTTAAACTACATTATACAAGCAATTTCATGGGTGCTTTGCGCTGCTACGAGAACCTCACCAAAAATGGAAAAGCATTGCATTTACCAGCCATAAATCAGCAGTTCCTATAATGAGCACAAAAATGTCACTTTTATGCAATTTTACAGATGAACAAAACTGGTGAAATTAACTGTGGTAACCTACTGGAGTCAGCAAAAGCCACTGCAGAAAAAAAAATTATATATGTATATAGTTTTGTTCCTTTCAAACTCTTTCCTGAGCAAGTTTCTGCCATTCTGGTGTGAAAACTCATTTGTCGTTCCCATTATACTTTCATTTGGAGTTTATCTTGAGTATCCAATGAGCCACCAACTGTGAAAATGATTAAATCTACAAAATCTATCTAATAGATGGAATAAATTAGGTGTTTAAAATCTCCACACACACACATACACACACATACACAGAAGCACATGCACGTACACGTCGGCACATGGGAATGACGGTTCCCAGCTGGTCCCCAAACTCCCAGCCCTGCCAAGGGATGTCTGTGGCACACCAGGGTACACATGCCAGACCTGGTGCCTGCTCAGAGGAAGGTTTTGCAAGGTGGAGATGGTAAAATTGGAGGGGTTGGGGTGGGCAGCCCCCACTGAGGAGCCCCAGTGCTCCCAAGGACCCTTTTTGAGGCTCCCAGGGAGTGGAGCCCCCCTGTATCCAGGGGCAGAGGACTGCAGCCTCCATGCTGAGGAGCACTGTGCTCCCCATCCACCAGGACCAGCGATTCCTGATGCCACCCCTTGCTGGGTGGTAAAGTCACCACAGAAGAGCTGCTCCACTGGGTGCATTCCACGCCCCAGCAAAGGCATTTCCTGTCCCAGTCCTCTCTGAGTGATGTTTCCATGGCTGTGGCATGCTCAGATGAACCACGCACTGTATTAAAACCAAGATTCAGGGGAGGGGAGCACTGGGAGCTGTAGGGCTCCACGTGACCCCCCAGAAGCAGAGGGGGGGTTTGGGAGAGGCAGCAGTGAGGCCGTGGCCCCTCTCTAAGCTCTCCATGCTCCCCGTGCTCTGCATGCTCTCCGTGCTCTCCAAGCTCTCCATCAGCGCAGTAATTGAACAGGCAGGACGCAGTGCCTGCGCCAGCCATTCCCCCCATTAAGCTGATGTTATGGGCTTTTTACAGGTGTCTTAAATAGACACTGTTATTAACGAGTGTATTAAGCCAATTAAAACCGGTGCCTTTGAGTAGGATTTAATGGAGCTGCCGGGAGACAGGAGGGCACAGCACCAGCAGCTCCCTCCGGTAGGACACGTGCGGGTGTGTGGCATTGGCCCTGCCAGGGACATCCCGGGCACCAGCTGTCCAGCCTCTGGAAAACTCTGGCACAGCTGCAGAGCAGTTGGTGAGGTGTGTGGGCACGCATGAGCGTGCATGGTGGGTTCTGCTGGGCATGGGCACCCCCCAGGCCAGTGAGTGCAGGGGGCTGTGAGTGGGACCGCCCTGCCCAGTGGCACGGCATGGCATGGCACAGAATGGCATGGCATGGCACGGAATGGCATGGCACAGCACAGAATGGCATGGTATGGCATGGCACAGCACCGGCAGAGCACAGCACGGCATGGCGAGCCACGCACATCTGCATTCCCCTTCATGCTGGCACCGCTGTCCTTGGAGGTGGCAGCATCGTGAATACTCAATTAACATGACACTAATTAGCTGGTGACACTTGCAGAATCCCTAATGAGCACATTCCAGGGAAACGCTCTTTTCCAAGGAAAAATATTAAAAAACAAGGGGTTGTTGATGAAGGGAGTGAGGCGCCGGTGCCACTGCGGCTCCCCAGCACACGTCACCAAAGCCCCGTCCCCAAACACTGCAGGTGCTGCAGGGGGCTGCAGGTGACACTTTTGGGATGGCTCTGTGCAGCCCCCTGGCACTGCCCACTGCTGTGGTCCTGGTGAGCCAAACCTGGCCAAGCGCATCCCACCCGCCAGCCCCGATGCCGGCACGTGCCCGGCTGGAGGGAGCCCCGAGCCGCCTTTGTCGCCTCTTTGCGCCAGCTGGGTTGGATGTGACAAGCCACCAATTCAGTGTGTTGTCACATATCAGGGTGACGCACCGAACCCCCGCCGGGAAAATTACAGAGAGCCCGATTTCCCGGCGGCTGCCGGCACGGCGGCGGCGGCGGCGGCGCTCCCGCTCTCCGCAGTAATTACTGCTTTCCAACGGGCTGTAATTACTGAGAGATGCAAACTCGCCCCAGCCACCTCATCACCCGTCAGGCACAGCCAGCTCTGACACAGCCACTCACCGCCGGGTTTGTCCCCCTTGTCCACCTCCTCTTGAACTTGGACCATCAGAGCCGACACACCAGGGCCGGGTGGATGAGCCACGGATCCCCAGGGGCTGACACACGCCACCACCATGGCTCTTGCCATCCCTAAACCAAACCCAGCCAGTGGCAGCAACAAGCATCCACCAACAGCCTCTCCCAGATGTTACACTGCCTCCAAGCTCCCTCCCTCACTGGCATTCCCACGGGATGAGTTGGGTACTCCTCAAAGCTCACAGTTCCCCCTCCCTCCCTGACCTGCTCTATTTTTCCAGTCTGCACTCAATAACAGCTAAATAATTGAATCTGCACAGCAGCCAAAGATTTGGTTTGAATTTTATTGGAATTTTAAATTGTTTTGTTTCTTCAGTATTTTATTACTGTAAATGGAAAATGCATCGCCTGCAGTAATAATCCGATGGCTTTTTATATTACTCCAAGCTTGTGCTCGGAGCATTATTGGAAAGCCAGGCGGAGAGGAGACCCCGGCTAATGGCAGCACGGGCTTATGAGATTACGCCTCCAGCTAAACAACTTTTTACTTTAGCAAATTGGCCACCAAACCCGGCCCGAGCCACAGATGTAAATCCCAGACCCCGCTGATGCCACGATCTGGAATAAATCTCGGTTTATGGATCGGGGAGCTCTGCCCCTGCTGTGCCTGGAGCAGCGGGTCAGTGCAAAATGTCCAACAGAGATTGAGGGCAGCTGCAGGAGGGATGGGAGGGGATGGGAGAAACCCTCCAGAAACCTCTCTCGACATGCACACACGCTGCAGGTGTCCCTTGCATCCCCAGCATCCCCTTATTCCCTGCATCCCTTACATCCCCTTATCCTTGGTTTTCCCCCATCCTTCCCATCCCCTTCATTCCCTTCATCCTCAGCGTCTCCCATATCCCCCTTATCCCCTGCACCCTCGCACCCCTGGTGGTGCCAGGATCCTCACACCATGCCTGGCTGCAGCCACAGCCCTCAAGCGCTGGGAAAAAAAGGAAAGATGGGAAGAAAGGAGGGGAGGGAAGATAACCAAAGCCACCCTTATGGCAGGAGAGACCAAGGCTAACGGGAGACCAGTGATCCAAAGCTTGTGCAGCACAAACCCACACGCTCCCAGTTACCCCCAGCCTCGGAGCCACTGGGGGACAATGGTCTCAGTGAGACCCAGCTGCTTGGCCCCCCTAATTGCCCTGTCAGGCCCCCCTAATTAACTCTGCCAGGCCCCCCTAATTAATTCTGCTTTCAACTGTACTCTTTAAAGGCCCTAAAGCAGTTACAAAGTGGGGAGCGAGGCCGGGTTAATAGCACAGCCCTAAATTTTGGCCCTTGGGGCCGGGCTCCGCGGCAGTGACAGACCTGATGGGGCTGCTCAGCTGTCAGTCAGGAAGCAATTCAGGCACCCGAGAGCTCACGGGGCAGCAGCATCCGGCTCTGGCGCTAGCAATCACAGCCTGCCTGGTTAAAGCAGTTGTGGGATCAAAATGGCACCAGGAAGGATGCTCAGGACCAGGAAGGATAGGATGGATGCTTGGCAACAGGAAGGATCTTCAGTACAGTGAAGGACACTTGGTAATGGGAAGGATGCTCACAACCAGGAAGGATGTTTAGGACCAGGATGCTCAGCACCAGGAAGGAAACTTGACACTGGGAAGGATGCTCAGGACCAGGAAGGACAGAATGGACACCCAGCACCAGGAAGGATGCTCCATGCTGTTCTCACAACCCAGGTGCCTGTGTATTCCCCAGCCTGGTGGGGGACAGAATTCCTGACTGTGTTCTCTCTTCCCTGGAGAAGGGCAAGCACAGGCACTGGCAATTTGTGCCTTTAATTTCCAGGCCATGATGCTGCAGGAGACAGTGCCAGGCAGTTGCCTGCCTCTGGAAGAGGACAGGGAGCAGGACATGGGGTGTACAGGGGGTACATCCCAGGGATCAGTGCCAGCAGCCCTGAGCAAGGACTGCATGGGGAGAAGCCAAGAGGAATGTTGTGGCAGCACATGGCACCTCACTGGTTAACAGCAGCACAGGCATTCATTGCTCCCTCCCTCCCCTCCATTCCTTTTGAGATAAGATGGGACAATCCCTATTTTTACACATCGAAAGCGCTACAATATTTTGCAATAAATGAAAGAACTAATCTCAGCAGGAAATCTTTATAAAGCTGCCTAAGGCGATGTGTGGCTGGAAGCTCCCTGGAGCTGCACACGGGCCTTGCCTTCCCCTGGTCCCAAAGGAAAATGTTTTCCACCCTTTTACAGATGGGAAAAAAGCATCAATGGAGGGCTCAGCCCCGAAAAGTGAGTGAAATGTGACAGCAGCCGAAGAAAACCATCTGCCCCTGCTCTGCCTTCATGTGGTCCCATTGACACATTCACCCTGCGAAGGGGCATTTCCTGGGAGCCCTGAGAATCCTGCCAAACCTCGCCCTCCCTCCTCACCCTTATCATCCCTTC